TTTCATCAATGCCCTTTGAATCGTCGCCTGTCCACTGCTTAAACCCCCGGCCTTGCGGGAAACGCCTCAACCCAGGGAAGTTGGGAACCACAGATATTCTGAGGGTTATATGTCGGTGAACAAAGCGTCCGCAGAAGAGATACGTTACGAACCTCCGGTCTATATCTGCGAGAATCTTCGGAGCTTCACTGCCATACTCGTTGGTGATGTATTGGACAGTCCAGGTCACAAGATGGTCCTTGAAGGTGCCCTTGATCACTTGATGCAAGAGGTCGGGGGCAAGCAGCTCGTGAATATCCGCGCGCGGGAAGTCTACTGTGAACGGCTGACATCTAAGATCAGAAACATATCTGGTAGACTATGGAGCGTACCAACTCACCACAAGATCACCGACGATGCCATAATCGTCCCATAGCGTCTTCAAGTCGAACGTTTTCAGCAACGCGCGAGTGTGCTCATGAGATCGTGGGACATTATCGCCATCATCAAGGTTATTGCTAGGAGCAGCGCACCTGATTTAATTAAGCTGACCGTTGCTCGTAGCACGGAAGCAGTGATAACTCACCTCGGACACCATCCCTGCACGATACATGCAAGTAGGGCTTGCTCCGGATAATCAGCGATATAGGGCCCTAGTCCATAGATGACACGGCGGTAATGCCCGTCGGCGCAACGCGTCACTTCTGGTGTGGTCATAACTGAGCGAACAGACTGTAAGATAAACTTCAAGGACATGTGGAAAAGCTGTCGACGGAATTTGCGAAAGTGAGGGTCGTCCTTAAAGTCTCGCTCAGCTGCAGAAATTGATATATAAGGTCAGTAAAAGCTCGGACATAGCAGTTGAAACCAGAGACTCACTTTTAGGTATAGCGAGAAAGGCAGTGAGAGCGACCGCACCCTTGTGTGCTCGGCGAGCACTGTTGTGAATGAGTCCAATTGACTGATACAGCGGGTAGTAATCATTCTGGCCAGTTGCAACAGAAACTGTTGTCTTGTCACTTCCGAGAATAAGTGGGCAGAAAGTGGCTCCATGTGCCTCGGGATCTTGAGCAATCTCGTCCTAATATATGCAACCAATCAGTATCTGGGACAAAAGCCACGTAGCGTAGAAATACGTACCGCTTGTCTCCATGCCCAGTTTCCACTCATAAAATCCTTATACTCCCGTTTGTTGTGGCGGTCAAAAATTCGCTTTGGGGTGTAGTCGATGCTATCCACAAATTCAGGGTTGGCGAGCTGGCTACGTGCGACTTTGAGTGGGTCCTTGAAATATACTCTGTACTCATCGTCCATCCATGGCGGTATGTTACAAGAGGGACGTGGGCCGCCATAGGAAACTGAGAACGACTGCCAGTCGACCTCTCCAAGAGGAATAGCATCGATCGCATTCTTGACATCTTTATTATCTGCAAATGGTGGATCTTCATCTTCAGGTAATGTAGCGGCCCAGAGTTGCATGAGCTCGTCGACATCAGAGGCAGACATCTCGGCCTTCCGGAAGAAGAAGTCGGCGAGCTCAAACTCAACTCGGCTGTCGAAAGGGTAGTAATCATCTGATGCTTTTTCTGGGAGTGGCGCGAGTAGAGTGTTTGGTGGAAGATCATTGCCGTTCACATCGCAAGGAGTGCCTGTGTGTGGCTTAAGGCTAGCGGATGAGAAGTATTAAAGAAGATACATACCGTCCAAATACCCGTGAGTTTCAACACGGCGCCCGTTGCGGTCAATGTGAACATGCGGCGGCTGAGTACTGTCGTCTGGGAGAGGGGTGCTAGGGGCCTGGTCTTGCTGCCCTTGGAATTCTGACGCCTCTCGTTCTAGGTCAGAGTTACCTTGAGACGAGCTTGATGGTGATCTGTGGGCGGAAGCATGTGGAAGTGTTGTGTGACGACTGTTTATATGCCGAGTGAGTCCTGACACCTTCGTGGAGCTGAATGTACAGCCTCGGTGGGGACAGGAGAGTGTACGTGCGCGGAATATTCGCTTGTGGCGAGGAAGAGGCATTTCTGAGGGTAAAGCACAACTTAGAGATGTAAGTCAGCCTCAATCGGAAGTAGCGGGCTGAGACGCGGACTTTTCCGGTAGCTGCAACCCTCAACCCTGCCCTCCTCCATGTCTCGTCCAGCTCAACGTCCAAGACAAGCACGATGGCACCAAAACCGCCTCCCCCTCCAAGTATCATTCGTACTCGGCCTGCCAATCGAGCTAAACATCCTGGAAAGCCAGACTTGGAAGACTCCCGACGCACCTCAGAAGAGGTCCAAGCAGAGAAGGCCTTGCAAGCCGAAGCTCGAGAGTTGGCGCAGGAAGAACAGCAAGCCTCCATAGCCCACGTTGCTGCTCTGGAACAAGCAGCCTTGAATGAGCATAGCCATCGCATTCAGCATCGAAGCAATCCACCTACAAAACAGCTTCCTCCTCGCAGTGCTCGACCAACATCGCTTGTCGTCGCAAAACGGAATCTGGTAGACAGACAAGGTCAGAAGTCAGACTATTAGATAGCAACATAATTACTCACGGAAGCCAATAAATTGAAGCAGATGGGGAATCCTTGAGCGGCGATGGTGACGATGAGGAGTTTGTGCCAGACCATGACGGGGAAGGTAATAACTCCAGCAGCGACAGTGAGAATGAGGAAGAGGAAGAGGATCCTGAGAGCTCTCACAAGCGCAAGAAGCGTGTACAAAAGAAGAAGGCTTCCCGTGGGGATGTGATGAAAGCCCGAGCGACAGGCGATGACAGCGTGGGTTCTTCACAGATACCAAAGGGCACTTCGCGCGGTGTTGCTGCAAGAGGACCGTAAGCTTTTCCCAGTCACACATCTGACCACTGAAATATAGAGCATACCTAGTACAAGTAACAAATCGAAAGGGACCAAACCAAAAGGCACAGCGGTCGGAGGCCTCAAGAAGGCGATAGATGGGGATCAGCGAGGCCGGGGTCGTTCTCGTGATGAGAACCTCTCCGCACGTTCCAGTTCCGGTTCTGTTGGGACCATCCCACCCGAGAGCGAGTACGAATCATCGAATCATGGCAATCCCCTTGCCTCCTTTGCAGATGAAGACGACAATGTTGAGCGTGCTCATATTGATTATACTCACTCCGCAGCTCCTTTACAGTGGTCCGAGTCACACCTACAGAGCCGAGAGACAGGTGAGTTCGCCATCAATAGCAGTCGCAATGCAGCAGACCTGAATCACTTCTCTCAAGAACGCACAGCACCAGTCAGCCGCAAGCAGCAGCTGATCGCCTCATACAGAATCTCCGATGACGACAATCCGAGTGAAGATGTGGTGGAAATTACCGCCGATAAACGTGTAGGAGCTGAGACAGAAAGGTTCAAGCACCAACCTCCTGCGAGACACACTGCTGTGCCTCCGGTGAGTCTAGGATTGACGCCTTTAGCTATGGTGCTCATGTTATGACACAGACATTTCCATCTGCTGTGCTCACCAAGGTTCATGTGCATCAAGATCGCCGAGGCTCCTCCTCTTCCAAACCCTCGAAGAAGACATCGGCGCCAAGAGAGCGTCATAAGATGGGTGATCTACCAGAAGGTATGACTCGCTCGTTTATCAGCGAATACCTCCCGCTCGCCAAAGCCTTTGCTGGCCGCAAGCTCGACCCGTGGGAGAACCTCTCAGTCAATGAGATTCAAGAGATAATGGGTATTGCGTATCCAGGATACGAGAAGGAGTACAAGGTGGAAGCAAAGGATGTCTTCTGCAGTCTGGTGAGTTGCCTTCTGAGTCAACCTTATGCCACGATTCCGCTCACTAAACATGTTCGAGACCCATGCCCGCCTCCGAGACTCATGGCGCTCAGGCTTTGCAACGGAAGCCTTGGTCGTGCTCGACATTATCACTGAGAAATGGAAGAGCGACTTTGCAAAGCAGGTGAGCAACGAGAGCAGCCCTAGCGAAGATATTGCTGCACTCGTCGCCAATCAAGTCCGGTTCGAGCTGGCGTTAGAGGATAGAGATGAGCTGGATGAATCGTCATACATCAAGAAGGCCAAGCCATTCCATTGGCGAGAGACATCCCCGAAGATGAAGGTGTGCCGCTCACTGTTGTAGCCGCCCAGCCGCGGTCTGCCAAGTTTGCCTCCTCTGATCCATCGTCACATCTACAGGGTTGCTTCCAGTCCAACACCATACTGTTCACCTTTTACTGGCACCTACAGTGCATCAATTGGTTAGACCCAATTGACGAGAACATCGACGATGAGACGTTGGCGGATATGTTCGGAGAGCCTCCGATAGGCGCTCTTATCCTTGCTACTCAGGCCGTGCGCATTACCTCTGATATTGGTAGCTGATAGCTAACTGTCTTGCTCTTACAGGTTGAAAGAGCTTTTTTAGCCTGGCGGACAGGTGTGAAGGTTCTTCCCGACCGCAGGAACCAGGCGGAGTGGTTTTCTGCTGACAATTGGGCCGACTATGAGGTCTTCACAGACGGCGACCGTGCGAAGAAGAGGAAGATCCCACGCTCGAGCATCTATGTGAAGACCATGCAGCGTCTCAAGCCACGCGACTGGTTGTATATTGTCAACAAGAGCATTAGGCTGCGGGAGGAAACCAACTTGCAAGCAAAGCGCAAGAAGACCGGAAGGCGTGCAATGGCGAACGAGGATTTAATAAGCGACGACAACTCGGATGCGGACTTCGAATGGGTCAGCGAGTCTAGCGATGACGAACGGCCAGTACCCTAAGACTCCAGCCAATAACAGGTGACATTGCCATGCCCCGGTACGGATTACACTTCATTTCGCGGCATTCCTATTAGCTGACTGTTATATTCACATCGTAGCCATTGTAAAGAAGTGGTACTTGTATGTAGTCGTAGTATTAGAGCTCCTACCAGCGTGAAACACATGGTTTACAGCTATCTAATGAGTGTGATTGATCCAACGTGCCCGTCTTACCCATAAGACCGCTGTCTTGAGCTTGCCTTGGGCGACCGTCTTGAGAGTCTTGGCCAAGACCGGGCGTCTTCCCAAGACAAATGACATAGCTTGGCTAACATCAAGTGTCTTGGCGCCTTGGCCGCCTTGGGCGTATTACCCAAGACACTCAAGACACTCCCCAAGAGCTGGCAGTTTTGCTGATGGGCCGCGGGATCCATATCGCGTGTGTAAAAAAGCTGACGGGGGGCGCAGCTTCACTGCAGGTACTACTATGTACCCTCTCTGCGACGGAACTCGCGAATGCCTCCACCGATGCCGGCGGGTGGGCCGAAGCCGCCTGGACGAGTGCGGGAGCCGAAGGGGCGCGCTTTGAGATTGAACCCTTTCACGCATACCGCTGGGACCATCGAAGCCAGGGCCGGCGCCGCCGAAGTGGTCGCTGGGAAGAACCCTGAGCGATGTAAGGGCCGAAGCGGTGCATTGAGCACGCGCTTTCTCATTCGTTGTATTCCTTCGGAACTTTGAATCTTGCGCTGCTGAAGGTCGCTGCTGCATGTACATTTTGCCGCGAAGTCTTCACAAGACCATCGAGCGCATTGAGGGGGCGTGATCAATGTTGTCGATATACTACACCGTTGGACGACAAACTGAAGCGCAGCAGGCTGATCTGGGACTGGTCTACCCTGGGTCGCAAACAGGTGCGCGTGATTGTTGATAACCTCGCCGTATCTTCCACGATTCGACTCGATACCGAAGCTTTCCTAGGTGGTAGATATAACGCCCAGTTGAAACTTCCGCAGATGCCCGCCGAGCATTGTCTACCGCCACTGGTACGCGGTTGGAAAGCGACTTTCCTCAGTTGTTAACGTTCTCGATCAACCCCAGGTTTATGCTCAATGAAGAAGATACGCTCCTCGTTACCCGACGTATCCACGAAGTGTACTGTCAGGTTATACTGCGTCGCATCAAGACAGGCTCTAAATCAAAGCTGCCAGACGGAGCTTAAGAGAGGTCGGTATGAGCGCGGTCCAGTTGCGGCTGTACGAGTGGCCGAAGACATACAAGATA